CGGTGCGACCTAGTCAGCTGGGCGGGTGGGAAAATAAAACCCAAGCCAGCCATGAAGCGATGGTGGGGTGCTGGTTTGATTTGATGTCGGACTGTGAGACCTTAGGTTCGGAAGGTATGGCGAGGTTACCGATGTCTTCATAAAGCCTGGCTGCGAACCAGGTTGGCTGCCGCAGTGTTTCACTTCAATCGGCGAGTTTGGGAAATAGATGTCAGTGAACTAGTTCTCGTTTCGACCCCGATGACAGGCAGGCAATGGGCCTTTGTGACGTTTGCTTCTGCCAGTGAGGCACGCGGAGGGGCGCGGGGCTGTAGCGGAATAGATATATAAATCGTAGTGCAGTGAGAGCTTTTCACCCCCCCGCCTCCGGTGCAAAACAAAACCTTCTGAGGCACAGCAGGCCAAAGAGGCCACCGATCGGCAGCTGACCCTTCCCGGGGCCGATAGGGCCTGCGAGGTGCCCATGTGACCTTCGTGAGTTTGGAATGCAGAACGATGCAAGTGAAGTGTGCGGCATGCCAGCAAGCTCACGCGAGCAGGTCATGATGGCAAAACATCAAGGCCTCTTCGGTCAGGCAGCCATGGTCCGATGGCGACTGTGATTTCTGATGAATGTAGCATGCAATCAAGCCATGTTCGGAGCAAACAGTCCTAGACCGACCAGGCACCGCTCAGCTCGTTCGGCCAGAACATGAACAGCCCTAGCCCTGCGCAGCCACCGCCACCGCGATCACCGCCACCGCCTCACATGACGCCTTGGAGGCACAGAGCACTTGCTAAAAATATCTGTGCTTCGCTGAGAGGAGTAGCATGAGCGCAGACGGATTGAACTATTCCAAGAGTGCTGCGAGGACCTACAAGACACAGTCCGGACTGCCGTATTACCACAATACGCAGACAGGGCAGACTGTGTGGGAGACCTGCCCGCCTAGTACATGCCCACACAGACAGCACTGCTTGAAGCTAATTCGCTCGCGATGCTCTGGTGGCTGAGGAATGTCCCACAGAGTTCGTGCCACCCCCTGGCAATGCGCATGCGGCAGGTCTCGAGTTGAAGCATGATGAAGCATGCCCATGTTGACGACATGCCAATCAACAGCTGCCGACCTAGCTGACCCTATCTAAAAACCCCTTTTTGGAGGTGACAGAGGTGGACAAGGATCGCGCTACTCTCCGTACTGAGGCTGCTGGGCATTAGGACTTTCAGGTCAGGGCAAGGCCTGACAAGCCGTGTGCCGTGAGAATCTCTCCACAAGCAAGACAGCCTGTGAGGTCGCACATCACTTTCAGGCGTGCCGGTCAGTGGCGGTCGTAGCGGTGACATAGTATCGGGATTGGCCGCCCTTGATAGCAGAGTCGGGGAGTGTCACACCGTTTGAAGGTGGGGAGTAGTTAATCGGTTGGGTAGAGCTGTATATAGAGGCTGCAGGGCAGTTTGAGGAATCTGTGCGCCTGAGTGGCACCCGCCGGTACAGACATTGATCTTGAGCACTCCATCTTCAACAGCCAAGCAGACGCGCGGTTTCGCAAAGACTCCGACCCGAGGATGTGCCAGGGCTAAAGGAAGCTTGCAGTGCGCGGACGTGATGCTGTGTTAGGTAGGTTGGGCGCGAGCCTTTGCCGGGCATCTCAGTGCTCTTTGCATGGTGCGATTCGGATACGGTGTGGTGGGGTTTCGATACTCTAAACCCTAAACCCTAAGCCCTAAACCCTAAACCCAGTGCCTGTAGAGGTAGCCTAGGCTTGTCTGATGCCAGGCCATGATCTTCTCTGGGCTGCTGGTGAGGGCACTCCTGGCGCCTGATGCTCAGAGGTCGAGCAAAATACACTTGTAGAATCTAGGAAGGTTCGGCAACTACAGTATGTTTTTTTTTTTCCGGCGGATTTCAGCCGTCTAGCCACCCCAAACTCCAAAAGGACTACGTCCCAAATGGCTACGGCCTCAAGCCATGGTGGCCCCAGGCCCACTCCTCCTCGAGGAGTCTGCAGTGCCAAAGAGCCTGCGCTTCGAATCCTTGAAGTCCTTGCAGTATGGCTCTGCTCCGTTTGCCTTCTCCGAGATTCAGCAAGCCGGCGACGGGGCTGGGCAACGTGATGGTCAGGAGCAGCAGGCGATGCTGCAAAGGAATCGCAGGACCGATGCCTCGATCGCAGCAAGGGCAGTCAGACCGCCGGGATCTCAGCTGGCCCGGCTGAACGTCCTGAACACGTCGGCGTGCGGGGGGTTTCAGTCCTTGAGCAATCCCTCCAACCAACGCCAACCTCGCGTTCGTTGCTTTCGATGATTCCACCGTCCGTGCTCAAGGAGGTTTGGAAAACCTCCGCGGGTTCCTAACCGCTGGTGAGGTCCCTGACCTCACGAACTTCGCTATCAACGTCACAAGGCAGCCACTTCTGCAGAGCGACCTTTGGCTTCTCTCCTGCGAGAACGACCAAGTCATCATCCTCAGAATATCCCAGAATTCTTCTATTCAGTCACTAGGTGGCACTCTGGGAAACTTTCTAATTTCCCGTATGGGACCTGCCGAGACACCTCTTCTTGAATACAGCACCACGAAGTCTCTGAGCCCCTGTATTGGCCTGTCCAGCTTTCCTCATGGGAGCTTTTGCCATTTCGCTGCCGACCGTACACCTGACGCCAAGATCACGAGCGGAGCTCCGGGCTTTGGCTCAGATTTGGGGCTTTGGGGCATCTCCGAAACGACACCCAACCTCGCCTGCAGCGTCCGAGAGTCCGAACAGAGTGCGTCTAACGTGATTTCCGGGAAGCCACTGTGCTGCAGTGCGCTCACGGCTGCTGTTAGGGGCTTGCTGAAGCATTTTAGAGTGTACAAAATAGTTGTCAAAGACTGTGTGGAGCAGTTGTCGTGAAGCGTAGATTGCGCGTGTGTGACAGTCGAAGCAGAGCGTAAGCCCTACATGCATATACAGATATACATACACATACATTCATACATATACATACACATGTTATGTAATATATGTATATCTATATATATATATAGATGTGTACCTATATATATATATGCACAAGTATATGCTATGTATCCATATATATATATATACACATGTGCACGCACACACACACAGACACACACACAGACATATATATATATATAAAGATATTTATAGAGTACTTTGGCTGAATGCATTGGGAAAAATCAGGGGTGACGTTTCCGGGACCGATGCCAAGAACACCATCCTGCCGGAGGCTCAATCTTGTGCTGCTTTGTTTTTCTTCGATGTGTACATATGAACAGATAAAACTAGAAAGATTAGTCACCACATGCACATATACGTAGTTTCAGATGTACGTATAGATCGATAGATAGATAGATAGACAGATTGATAGATAGATATCGATAGATACTGTATCGATAGATATCGATAGATATAGATAGTTATAGATAGATATAGGTAGAATAGGTAGATATAGGTAGATATAGATAGAGGTATGGATATACATACGGACACGCACCTATGCATGCATGAACGGATGTTTGAATGTATGGATACAGAGATGTATGCATGTATGCAGAATACAGACATGTGACGTGATCCACACCGAACTCCGAGGTCCATCTTGGCACAGGCAGCTCCCAAAGGGCATGCAGCCGTGGAAGCCGGGTGGGGGGCTCAAGATCACTTTGGCAGGCTTCCAGCTTTAGGGTTTAGAATTTCGGGTTTAGGGTTCAGGGGTTAGGGTTGAGGGCTCATTGCAACTGTCTTTGCATTCGGGTGCAGCACCTCGGCTCACTCCTGTAGTCGGTGCACGCCGCAGCCGGTCATGAAGGCACATGCAAATCGCATCAGCCAGACATATACAAATGTACGGAGGAGGAGCAGTGAACGCCCCGCGAGGGCAATTCATTCTAAAGCCATGACATGGTTCTCGCCAAGATCAACCCACTTTCAAATTACAGACATTTCTATGTATGTAGTATTTATGTATGCCTGTCTCTGTCTACCTATCTATCTATCTGTCTACATGTATGTACACATACAATACTCATCACTCCTCCTAGCCATGGACTCGAACCTGCAGCAGTGCCCGGGCTGTCAGCAGTTAGTGGATGCGCAGGCCTTGACTGGTTTCTGTTCCGGTTGAGTCGGATGTGCATAGGGCGGGAGGAGCACAGCATCTCGAGCCAGGATGTCCACGGCGAAAAGTATTGCCCCAACTGTGGCGGAGTCTTGATGGCAGACCTCTGCCGGGCAGACTGGTACGTCGAGAAAAAGGGAGGCCAGGCCGACGAATACAGGGATTCTTTCGCAGATTCTTGGACCGGGGTCGTGATACATGTTCACTATCGCACTGGTTGCAGGCTCAGACGGCAGTCAGAAGTTGTCCGTTCGCCGCTCAGCCTTGGTGATCGGGAGTCCAGTGTGGTGAAATGTCTCATTGCTGGGATGCCGTTGCAGGTGGTGCATCATCCGTATCATTTGATGCAACTTCTCAGCACTTCGCAGACCCAGCCGACCCAGCATGTCTGCCTGGTTGCTCTGGCAGGGATGCCCTTGATTTTGCAGCGAAGTGTTGCTAGCCCGAGGAAGATGAAGCAAATCAGCGCGAAGGCAGCACATTGGAAGATGCAAGATGCAGGTGAGAGGCAATATTTACCTCTGGCTCTACTCCCCCTTCCAGGTGCACCAGGACTTTCAGAAGCAGTCACGCTGGAGGAAGGCGCTGGCGAACCTGGGAGTGAGCCTGTGCTTGCAGACCACGGTGCAGGAAGCGGCGCCACTTGGCATGGTGGATGTGTAATAAAAGGGCCGGGTTTCGAGAGTGTACTGTGCAAGTCGGGAGTGTGAGCTGTGAGCTGCACATGCATCGCCAGGACAGATCTTATAGCTATTGAGAGTCGTGCTGCTTTGACAGCTACTTGCTACAGTCTCGTGGCATACTGTATAGTAATAGTAGGCAAGCGGAACGGGCATTAAAGCCACCCAGTCCCAGTCGGCAGCACAAGGGCTATTGCTTTCCTATGGCATCCTGCAAGGCTCGTCCTCATCAACCAGTACAGTATCCATGGCTTTACTGGCAGCAAGGCCAGCCCCGGGCGCAACAGGGAGTAGGACGCGTTACATATTTCTGAGCTGCTCAAGGCACGGCACAAGCTCTTCGGCGCCGCATGCCTGCTCATCGCAGCAGGCAGACAAGGCCTAGGCAGGCGCATTCAATGCAGAAGATGAGGAAGTCCTTGCTCGTAGAATCTGATCCGCGCTTTATCCTAAACAGGAGCGACAGAGACCTTTGCAGCGTGAGGCGTGACCTTGGGCGAAGTCGCGCGTCATACCGACCTGGAGGTGCGACTGCGAGGAGATCAGTTGAATTGCTCTGAGATGCTCCTGCCTGGAGGCGGGCAAGCTGCAGAAGATGGTCTGGAGAGTTTGCAAGACCACCGGCGCTCGAATTCCGAGGAGTGCCAGCTCTGATGCCTCACAATATAGTATAGTAATATAATACTACTATATTTCTATATTGTACTATATAGTACTATAATATACTATATTACATTGTACTATAATTGTAGAATATGTATATGGTGTTGTCACTATTGTATAATACCGGTGGTTTTCCATCTTTGCTTGTCGAGGACAGAGCAGAATGCAGAAGCGGCTCTTGCACGTATCTGCGATCACTTCAATGTCAAGCAGAAAGGATGCTCCTTAGGGAGGGATGGGTTTAGGGTTTAGGGATTAGGTTTGGGGTTGGGCTGCCTTGAAGGGAAATCAGGGAAGCAACAGTTCTGCGAGGCTGCGGATAGCGGCAGTCGCTTGCATTGCAGGAGGAGTTTGCGCTTTTGGCGTCAAGCTCGTGGCCATCTCAAGCCAAGGCGGCTTCGGGATTGTCATGCCCTGTTCGCGAACAGCTATGACAGAGCAGTTTTGAACACCAAGACGTAGAATCCTGTTTTGCGATGAGCAGGCTGGATTTGCACTGGCCGGAAGTGGGCGTTTGTGCTTGCAGCAGCCTTTGTCTTGGCCGCACGGGCATACTTCTACGAATTGGACGCCGAAGATGCTGCTCGCTTTCAATGAGCGTGCTTTGGACATGGCGAACTCTGTGTGCACCTAAGCAGTGAGGTGGCCGACTTCCTGTACATTGGGGTTGGAACGGTGAAGACGCGCATGCAGGAGTGCCTGCGGCATGCCGCATGGTCCTTCTTCTTCGCACGCTCCCTCTTTTTGTGAAGCATGTTGGGGCACTGCTGGAGGGTCTAGATGTTCAATAACACTGCCACCAGCGAGCCGTCAGGAGATGAAAGACCTCATACTCTCTGTAATGATGCATTTGCCGTGGGGCCACATGATCACCGCCGACAACTTGCATGTGCATCTTGTCCAGAACTAGCGGGTCCCTAGTCCCTAAACCCTACACCCTAAACTGAAGTCCTGGACTCTCACAAATGCAGACTCAAACTCTGAACCCCAGCGACCCGGTGGACGCATGCCTCGCCTGCAGAGTCCGAGTTGTGGGAGTCCAAACCTAAGTCAAAGTGTTCGCCTTTCTTTTCTGAAGGGTTTAGGGTTTCGGGTTTACGTCCTCGTCAGTGCTCGTTGGGGTGATGTGCTGTTGCCTGATATCCCTGCAATTACATCCCGAATCTTTAAGGATCTTGGAGTTGTAGCCGCATGGTCGTTGCATCCTGAAACTTGGGATGACCAGTTGATCAGTTTTTGCAATCTGGGGTAGCCGTGTGGCACGAGTCCACAGCACAGTCGGCGCCTCGGTTCCTGGCATATGCATAGTCCAGGTGTAAAAAAGGGTATATGGCAATCCAAGCCCGTGCTCACTCAAAAAATGGGTTTAGGGTCTAGGGTTTAGGGTATGCCCGGATGCAAAAAAGGGTATAGGGTTTAGGGTTTAGGGTAGGTACCTCCCTTTTGCTCTGGAGCATTGGGAGCTACTCCGGGCCTGCGCCCCACGGCTCCGACGGCAGCAGCTGGACCTGCAAGAGCAACGGCAGCAGGCCCCGGAGATTTCGAGATTAATAGCCAGAGGGGCAGCAATAATAATACTAAAAAATAATAACAACAATGATAATAATAATAATAGCTTCATGGCTTTATCGTAACAATGGTAGGAACAGCACCATCAGCAATGAAAGAAGACTAGTCGTATGTCAACCCGAACACTTCTGCTTGGTGGAGGCGTTGAAGCAGCTGGAAGGCGTGGAGGCGGATTCCGAGATGCCTCCTACCTCTGCTTCGCCGAGCACCGACCGGATGCCAAAGAAAGCCCGGACCGCCGCAAAAATGTCCGACACCCCATGGGGGTACCAATCCGAGGTTGGGCTCTAGTGTCCTTTGTTTCCTTTAATTTTTTTCAGAAGTAAGACAGCCCTCCAAGGGGTTACTCATAGTATTTTCAACGTGGTTTTGAGGACGCCTAAGTGGGAGCTCGCCAGAGTAGGGCACTGCTGGACTTGCAGGGAGCAGCCTTGGGAGAGCTCAGCTGAGCAGATCGGCTTCTGAGGTTGGTGAGGGTAGCCAAGCAGGATGTCGACCCCAGTGTCGAGCACTCAGACTTTCCAGACTGCAGATCGCATCGAAGCTTCTTACTTACCGAAGCACGCCCGCTTGCCTAAGCTTGCCTCTGCTGCCTTTGGCAGCCGGCACTTTCGCGTGGAGGTTCGCCTGGCAGCTTTGGATGCCCTCCGGACCGTTGCCGGAGAAGGAGCCCAGTGTGAAGCTGCCCTGCATCTGCGAGCCAACCTCGCCCTGCGCGAAGGAAGCCGCCGCCTGAAAGAAGCTGCCCGACCCCAAGCTGCCAGCGCCCAGGCCCAGGAGTCTCGAGAGACAAGCTCTCAGGCTTTGCACCTGGTCCTAGACGAAGACGACGCCGCAACCCTACCAAGGGCGCACTGAGGAGTCTGAGGATTGGAATCAAAAAGGGCCTCGAAAGACCGCTGAGGTTGTCCAGGAGGCAGCTGCCGAGCTGCTCGAAACCCTTGACCTCACCGACTACCCGGAGAGCAAGGCCCAAGCTGCTCGCGGAACCTTGAAGCCCTATCCTAAGACCTCAGAGTTCCCTTCGGCCAATGTCAGGAAGCGGAAACTGCCGAGGATCGCTGTCATGGTCTGTATGCAGATCTTGGCATGCAAGAGCATGCATTTGCTGGTGCTCCAGGCGGTGATCATGCAGACGCTTCCAGGAGATCCTTGCTGTGCCCAGTCCAGCTGCATTTAGGCTAGGCCAAGCTCCTGGCAGTCCGTCATTGCAAGGAGGGCATCCTCCACCAGAGGACATGGGTGGGAGTGGCAACGATGCAGTCGGAATTTCAGCGGTGCAGATGCCGCACTAAAAGAGGAAGCGCAGCTATGAGTAGTCTCGTGCAAACAACCATGGACGGTCGTCTTCTGCGACAATCTCGAGCGGCTGGTGTTGCGAAATTCTGCGATGAAATGCAGCCAGGAGCAAGTAACAATGACCGAAGAGCAGGCGAAGGAAATCATGATGAGGTATTTGGAGAGGCTGGGTGAACAGCTGCTTGCCTGCAGGGCATGGCACGACAAGCACCAACATGGCATCAGCTAATTGCTTGAGCTATTTGGACGGGACCGCATGTGTTTTTGACGAGAGTCATGTAACAGTTACGATGTTGACGGCCATTGAAGGGTGCGGGCACGAAGGATGCGATGTGGCGAGACAACAGAACGGAGCAATGCCGGAGAGGACGAAGCAAGCCCAGAGGAGCTCGAGCCGGAGTAGAGAACCTCGGCTGCCGTGACACATGCTTTGCTTGAATTTGAGGAAGTTGCTGCCATTGCTGCCGTCGAGCACCTCCGTCAGTTGCTAGGATCACGGGGACTCCGAAGCCCTTGCGAAGATCAGCAGGGAGAGGTTTCGAGCGTAGCGATGCTTGCAGGACCCCATCTTCGCGATGTCGAAAGGCTGCGGGCAGGTTCCTGTGCAGTGCGAGAGCCCGCGGCCCGGATCCCGAATCCTTTCGACCAGGAGGGCGGCAAATGGGCGTTTTCCTGGACGGCCTTCACGTGACCTTTGTTTGCCCTGGAAGCTTGGCACCGAAAGCTCTTGGTGCCGTGTGCATTCTGCAAAAAGGGTGATCAGCCAAAGCTTGCAGTCGTTCGAGCAGTGGCCCGACCGCCCAGGATCTGTCGCTGCGGAGGCGAGTCGGACAGATCTTTTAGAAGATCTATGGAGCTGATGGGTCTTTCAGAGCAGAACGGACAAACGAGCGAGCAAGACTTGTCGAGGTTCGAAGTCTACAATCTTAGCTCAAGTGATACTTGTAATGATTTCTTCTGGTTATTTGGTTGCAGGCTGGCCTGCTTGTGGGCGACACGTTCTGCAGAATGGATGACGCGGAGATCATGCGACAGGAGGACCGCTGATTCAATCGTCGTCTTTCACAGCCCGTCAATTATTGGAAGTCTCGTGATAAAAGAGCCGAGGAGCTTGTCCAGGCATGTTTAGCGGGCGACAGCCTGAAGCGAGTGGTCGTGCAGCGAGACGGGGAGGAGGCTTCCGCAGCTCTTCGCTGCTTGGCGCATCTTTCACCCTGGTTCAGGTAGTGCTGGAGCTCCAGTTCCCGGCTGAGGGAGCTGCAGATCAACAGGCTTGGATCACCTTAAACCCTAAAAACCCTATAAGCCCTAAGCCCTAAAAGCCGCAGTCGATGGGGTCCTCTGCTTCAACTCCAGTGAGGCAGTTTCTCTGCTTCCCTGCAACACGGCCCCTGGCAGGTCGAAGGCAGCCCAGATCAAGATGATGAGAGAGAGAAAGGCGCAGACACACCTCTTTTTTTTGTACTTTGCGGCTTGTGAAGCAGAGTGCAGCTCAGACCTGCCATCAGGAGAGAGCGCTGGCAACCAGCAGTGCCTCGACGGGTTCTCTCCCTCTCTCTCTCTCTCT